TATAGAAATATAAAAGTAATTTCACAGTTTCTGTAGTCTTTGTCAGCTAGTTCATTTTGTTTAATATATGGAATTAAAAAGACACACCAAAAAACTCTACAAATCATAATTTCAAGTGATGCAAGACAGTAAATAGCAAGGAATGCACAGCATATGGTTACTTTGAATGATGACTCCTAGTGTTGATGCTAGTGGACAGAAAAGGATGAGTGTTCCCCAAGCAGAATCATATCGTGTGGATTAGTCACACTAAATGTTTTAATGAATATTTATTAATATATACTAGATTTGAGAATTTCAGTCTTATTAAGAGTAGGAAATCAACAAAAATCTAAAAATACTCCTGAAAACGGCATTTATATTTACCAAAAAAAGGCAAAAGAGCAGTACAATTCTGCACCTCAAGACTGCTAACACATGCCAGTTTAAGCTATTATCCTTATGAGCACTCTACATAAGTTTCAGTATGTTTTCAATTTTCTAGTTTCCTGTGTTTCAAAAGAATGAAAGTTTTATTATTGGGAATCCAAAATTGTACATTAAGCAGTTGAAAAGCAGAGTTAAAAAAAAAGAAAAAGAAACTAAGGACAATAGTTTTAGATAATTTTAAGTGATTATATCTAAGATGCAATAATAACCAAAATATCAGAGTTTTCTAGTCAGTCTGATATTTTGATAATTCTTAGGAAGAGTTAAAAAGCAGTATCAAAAGATAGGGAAGACAGAAGAAAAGTCTTCTGTGATGTGAGAAGCAGAAATGCTATCATATACATGAGAAAAAGCTGAATTTTTAACAAGGGCCACACAACCCGGCTTGGTCTGGCCTCGGAGCAGCCCTCAGCCTCATCGCATTCCCTCCCTTCCTTGCTCCCTCCACTCCCATCACACTCACACATTCCACCCGGGTGCATGCCTAAACACTCTGCTCTCTACTCTACTACTGTACCCCTCCTATCTATGTTCTGATATGACAAACGCTTGCCTTCTCTCATAAAGACTAAGCTTTATGAGATTAGAGACTGTGTCTAGTTTGCTCAGTATGTAAACATCTGTTAAACGGAGGCTAAATGAATGAATGAGTGAGGGGAGCCATAGTCAGAATTCTTTTGTTCTCAACAAACAACAGCATCTACCGTTCCTTTCCTTAAACAATGTGAAATCATGAGGTAGTCATACAATGAGCGCAAATTTTACTGAGAGGCTACTGCAGGACATACAGAGGAAATAACACTGTGAGAGACTGACAGAAATGTTGAAATCTAGCATATGCTTAGAATTGAAAACAAGTAATGAAATCAGGCATCTTAGATAACTTTAATGGAATATAATGGTTAATACGCCATTCTAATGTGAACTATAAACTCAAAACTTTCTGTGAATCTTTTCTTCAGCACTAAGAGAAGTATACAGAATTGTGTAATACATTCTCAGTTAATCTTTTCTAGTTAAACATGGCTAAGAATACAAGGAAAATGAATATGGTAGAATATCCTTGTTCACACACAAAATTCTTTAAGTTTCCAGAATTTTGAAAAATTTTGATAATGATCATCTGAGAGTTACTTCTATTCAATGTCTTTAGAACATACACTTAAGGAGATATCCGTTCAAATATTTCATGTACTTTGACCAGGTAGTGCAGGTTTATAAGCAAGCAATACCTTCTTTAGTATAGTAAACTGGAAGGAAACACCATGTAGTCAAACAGCTTTATAAACAGCAGTAATTGGTTAATGCTGAACCAACAGCTTAATTTGATAAGGTAATAGTAATAACAGTAATAACAAAATAATAATAATTAAACTGGTTTTATGGCTAAATTTGGCAAGTTGAGATAACTCATCCACATAAAGACAGTCTCAATCTCTTTTATGAACACTGGAGAATGTCACTCATTAATCCACCGAATAATTATTTAAAATCACTCACTAGCCATGTGACCTTGGATAAGTTACTCAAACTTTGTGCACCTTTGTACAATACAGTTTTTGACATTATTTAACAGAATCAGGTCCATAGTACCTCTCCCCTTTTTGTTCTTGAAATGCAGAGCTGGAGAAGCCAAACAAAGAAAAATTATGGAAGATGCCCAGTGAGAATGTCTGAAGGGACTAGAGCCCCCAGAATTTGTTAAAGATGGACCAAGGGAACTGAAGTTTAGAGTTAGGGGCCAATATCTTTCCCCTCTAAGGAGCAGACTAACCACATCTGCATTTGTTGAGAGGCTACAGTAGAGTATATTAACTTAACTGATGTACCTGTTATTGATGAGAAGTTACCAGAGAGAAAAGGTATTTAGCAAGGTAGGAAACAGGTAGTAGTTTGAATTTAAAACATAAAAGAATGGTTAATCATCAGTATTTGATGATTATCCATCATCAAATTCTAAGGTGTTATTCTAAGTTTTTTTATAGTTATGGGCTTGTTTTTGTTTTTTCTTTTGTAGAAGCTTTCTAATTGTTTTATGAAAGAATTGGGAAAGTAGAACTAGTACTTTGATTTCTACAAGCCATAAAATGTCAGTAGGCTGTATTCAAAATGGAAAAACAACCCAAAAGTATAAAAAATAAAATATTAAAAAAATATATAATTTATCTTTTTGTTTCATTTGAGCAAAGGAAGAGGAATTGTAAAGTGGAGCATCAACCATTCAACATCTGATCGATAAAAGCTAAACCAAACCTTTAATCTTTAAAATTCTTCTGACACCTAACATTTATGTTTCATTTCTACTTAGGGGCTGTTGAGTCTAAAAGTCCACAATGATATAATTGGCAGACAATTCAAAAAAGCTGATACGGTTTATATCAACTTTTAAAGTAGTGAAAGTATACAAAATAAATATTGACATGATCATCTAAACATGGAAAAGGAAAGGAACATAATATTAATCGCATATATGTTGGTAGAAACAAACACATTGCCTTTATTGAAAAGCCTAAATAAAATATTTAGTCTTGATTCTGATCTAAACTTCTTTCATCTCTGTGAATATCAGAAACCTGTTTAAGCAATATAGTATATTCAGAAAATGTTAGTAACCTCAAAACCTTACATTTAGTTCACGTAGAGTGAAAGGCCTAAGATGCAGCTCTCCAACCTAAAACCAATATACTTCATTCTTCCCTCAGACTCTGAAATCTTTATCAGACAACACATTTAGACCACAGGTTCCATGAGAACAGGTGCTGTGTCTGTTTTCTACTCTCCTGAATCCTCGGTGACCAACATTAAGCCTGGCACATAACTGACACTCATTACTCATTTACTTACAGATTGACTGAATGAAGTACAGAGTTTTCTGAATATTTCAAGCTGCTTATTGTAATTTCATTTTTTCCCATATTAATTTATAGAATTAGTTTTGGTGCTCTAATGTTTGCAAATTAGAAATATTTTTGGTTCATTATTTAAAAGAAATCCTACAATACCTTAAAATCTATGAAGCCAAGGGTTTATGAACTAATGAATAAATTCAGATGATAAACACAAACTAGCAAGAGTTTAGCAGACACTGGGTTTTTGCATATATTGTCTGAAGGCATAAGGGACCTAGTGTAGTATACAGAGGGCATTTTCAAGTACAAGTAGATCAGGCCAGTTGTGTAGAGCATAAAAACCCAACCAGACAAACAAACAATTCCACCATTGACTGTGCAATGCTTATTTTTACATGAGAAACTCGAAGACCCTCCCATTAGGCTGTCAGTTTCCTGAGGCATGGATTGCAGCTCTCTCGGCATCTCATCATCGTCTATAAGAGAATTCTAAAACTTTGGCTCTCAAGACCCCTTTACACTTTTAAAAGTTCTTGAAGACCTCAAGAGCTTTTGTTTATGTGAACTATATTTGCCATACTCAAAATTAAAATTGAGAAAATTTAAAAATATTTATCAATTCATTTAAAAATAACAATAAACCCAGTACATGATAATATGCATAATGTATTCTTTGTGAAAAATCATTATATTTCCCAAACAAAAAATCTTGTGAAGGCAATGTTTTACACTTTTGCAAATCTGTTTGATGGCTAGCTTGAACGAAAACAGTTTGATTCTCATTAGCTTCTGCATGCAAACAGATGTGACGTTATTTTTTTTTTAATTGAGGTAACACTGGTTTATAAGACATGTTATTTTAACTGAAATATAAGAAGAAATTCTGGCCTCACACAGGTATGGAATTGAAGAAGGGATGACCTTGTGGATCACCACGAAGGGCCTCGGGAACCCCCAGGGGTCTTCATTCCACTTTGAAAACCACTGGCCTATAATATCATCTGTCATATGGCTATTGTTCAATAACTATTTGCTAAATTACTGAAAAGTTTAGGGAAAAAGAAATAAATTCTCAGGGTATACATACATATATGCAAACATACAAATGATTTTCACATTCATTTTGGATTCAACTGATAATATTATTTATAAATGCTGATGGTTTTGCTGCAGTGAAATGTTAATTATTCCAATTTCTCAACGCATTACAACTAAATTGGGATGTAGATTGAAGGAGGGTAGTCTGAACGAAAAAGTGAAAAAGAGTAAAAATAAAGTATATAATTCCAATATTTAATAAAAATAAACAGATGACTAGAAAGAGACATTCTACTTGAAAAAATACCAAGCATAACCAAATCAAGTGGCTAAGTGGAATGCTATATGGGTCTCTTTAAAGCAAGAAATTAGATTGAAACACTTTACTGAACACAAGCTGGATTCTAATATTTTTAGTATCCTACATGCCATTTCTAATTAATTTATGAAAACCACAAGAAAAAGTTTTGTTCATATTTTTAGCACTTCTGCTTTAAATATTAATAGGAAGTAACCAAATATCAGAGAAAACAAATTGATTCAAACATTTTACAATTCCCCAAATCATAACTTTTGTTCTTTAAAAATAGCCTTAAGTAAATTCAGAACTAAAAATATAATTTTTAATATTAAATATTGGGTTTTTTAAAATGTCATCTCACTCTGTGGCAAAGAATAACTTACTTTTCCTTTTCTTGATGCTGAAGCTCCTGAGAAGCCATTTTAGGTTCTGTCCCAAGATTTTTTTGCATCCGCTGCCTCCTCTTTCTACTTGGTGCAATATCGGTGACGTCAGGACTTGAAATAACGGAGTCATCTCTTCTTAAAGTAGCTAAAATAAAATGACATAAAAACGTGACCCAACAAAATCAGGCATATAATTCGTGAGTAAAGTATCAACTTGCTGCTTTAACACTGATATAAAGTGACACAATTAAAATGCAGCAAAATTCTTCTTTAAAAATTTATTCAGATTTGGTGAAATGAGCCAGTTAGTGTGCAATACTTTAATACCAATATAAAATACAAAGTATACAGTACACATGGAATAATTTGATCAAAATGGTCTTTGCTTATCTCAGGCAACAACCTTCCCAAGGGCATTATAGGCACAGTTTGATCTCTCAGTGCTAGAACCAGATAGAAGTGCCTTAGAGGCACCTCTGAAAAGTGTTTGGGGGCAAAAATACCGCTATAGGAATAACACAAATCAAACTGATACTAAACAGTAATTATTAGCAGGAATGGGTGCTTGGGCTAGTCATCCAGAGATAATGTCATAGACTCTTTGGCCAACTATGCGGAATAAGCACAAGAAAAATGTAAGAAAATACTAACAAAAGTCTCTAATGTGGCGAAACCATTAAATTACCTTTAAAAGTGTTTGATATACATGAAACAGAAGCAACAATAGAAACATGCTTGATTTATATTCCTTTATTCGCTATAAACAACTTAGTTCCAAAGAGCGTGAAGGGGCTTCAGAATATTCATTCTTCCACCCAATACACAGTACATTCTGCAATAATACACGTTTCTGTAAAAGAAAAGAGCTCCTTTGCTATTGGTAAATAATGAACAATATCAGTATAATTTGGACTTTGGATGTCCTGTGGGTCATACGATTTTTTTCCAGTATGTTAATATTTTAAAGTGATCAGGGGCAAGCTTTCATCCCAATTAAAGAGAAAGCCTTAGCAATGTATAAAGGCCTAAAAAAGTGGAGATGAGTGGCTAAAAATCCTGTACAAGGCCATTCCTTCAGCACCAATAGGGGTTGGTTTAGTGGAGTCATGAACTCTACACTTTTCAAAAGTTAAGCTCTGTGCTAAAGCTGCAATTACAGCTGAATAAACTGTGAAGATATTTCTCCCTATGTTTTGAATCAGATGTTTAATTTTGATGAAATTACTGGAATCAAATGCATTCAGTAACTCCCATCTCCTCCATTCAAGAAGCGTGATGCAAAGGGTTAGCTGACTGTGATGCTGGATGCAAATGTTGCTAGCGATTTAACGGAGTTAATATTTTTATTAGCATTGTAACTAGAGAACTAACAATAACAATGTAAAGCTGCAGAAATTTTGAGTAGTCTGCCCAAACCTTCGTTTTTTTCCCCATAAGCTCTATTATTTTTAGTGTGCAATTCTGCAGAATGAGTGGTTTTTCAGGCACACATAAATCATATTCTGGAAGGAAAGTTTGTATTCTGAGTTCTTACTCTGTGCAGTCCATGCTACACTGAGTGACCTGAGATCACCTGGACACTGTTGACCACTCTCTTAAAACTCTTCTTTGGATTTTTTTTCTTAAAATTGCTACCATTTTTGAGAACATATGTACTCGACGCTTAGCTACGGGTTTTACATGTAGTATCTTATTTACCTTTAACCTTGTGAAGTACTTAATACTACCAACCTCATTTTACTGATGAGGAAACTGAGGCCTTAGAGAGGTTAAGTAACTTGCCCAAAGCACATAGCCCTTGCTTTTATATTTTATCTTTATGCAATTAAAAAATATTCCTCCCTAGCAGATAAATTACTCCTTGAGAAAATATTAATTGAAAGCCCATCAAAGCATATTTTACTTTCCAAAGCTGTATAAGTTATTAAGAAACATAAGTTCCACTAGACTTCTTGTACATTATTTTATTAACCCCTAAAAATGTATTGGAAGTACAGAAGGGTAAATAAAAAAGGGTCTTTCTTTGAACACATGAAAGCTGAATAATTTCTCAAATTTTATTAAGCTATGAGGTGACCAAGGAAGATAATTCTGGTTTCCTGATTTCTTACCCAGTCAGCTCTCACCTAGGGTTTACTCAATCACATAAGCAATCAACAAAGTACAGGCTTGTCTAAGAACAAAACTAGCAAAAGCATCCGAGTTAGAGGACATTTCAACTGTGGATAGACTTGTAAAATGGAGATAGACTGCATTTAATGACGTGTTAGACATCTAGGAGGAAAGAATATTAAGTTTAAACTAAAATGCAAGGTAAAATTTTTAAAGTTACCAAAAAGTTCTGCCGTTCATTTGAAAACTCCAAATAATGGTTTACACATTGGCACCCAAAAAGATGTTTTATATGTGCAATGGTTATACTATTTGTTATAATGTCTAGAATTTACTTTAAAATACCATGTGATTAAACGTGTGTGTTAGTCAGGGTAAGCTATAACCCTGGTGTTGCTAGTATTTACTCAAGTTTGCACAGACCGGGACAGTTTTTTGGAATTCTAATAATAAAGTCTATACTTTTAAAGGGCTAACAGAGGCACTTTTGTTATTTGCATCTGAATCAATAACTGATGATTTACTAATTAGTGTACTGAGTAACAAAAATGTGTAACTATTGGTGAAAACAAGGCACGAAAACAAGCATGACGAATACTGCATATGGGCTCTCAGGAGTGAAATTAAAGGCATTCAAGATATACAGATTGGGTACAGTATTTGAGACATACTCTCCACTATTTTATGAACAAGGTATAAGAATCCAAGGAGGTCTGTTTACTCTTAGAGATGATGCCCTGTGCTAAATCTTAGTAGTGCTGTGTCTACTTGTGAACTCTGGACAACTGTGGTTGCCTGATGCCAGGGAGAATCACCATTTCTGCCTCAGGAATTTTTATATTTGCCAAAAGTGAACATTTTATATGAGGGGGTGACTGGGACACCTAAAAGGACAAACAGCTGAAAAATTCTTCAAGCTTATAGGACAGGTTCAGGAATTATTTTGTGCTTACTTGCTAGTAAATATTTAATTGGTAATTGTCTATGTGTGGGAAAACTTAGTCTGATAATTTATTAGTATTATTATTCCCACACTTCAAACTTCTGGGTGGCTATCATTATGTACCACAAAGAACCTAGAGTTGTGTATAAACAAGTGTTTCAGGTCATTTCATTGCACCATTTTTATTCTTTTTTCTTGACAATTGCAGTGTAGCCTCTATCTACTATTGTCATGGCATATGTATATGAAAAAGGGATGGCATATAAGGTTAATTACTGTTTAAATGAAATATATCTTTTTCGGTTTGTGTTTGCACCATGAGAAACAGTCTTCCCTTCAATTTATTATATATATGTAATATCAAACTGTATTGTAATAGCTTCTCTTAATTTACATATTCCTTTAAAATGAAGTTTTGATAATATTTGCTTAGGCTTTAATAAAAGGGAAATGTTCCATCCTATCCTTTCCTCTCCACCCCACAATGCTGGAAACCAGCAAAAAGAGGCACTACTCCAACAGCAGGTACCTAAGTATTAAATTGCTCATCCTAAGCATTCCTCAAATTTTAACCCATCCTACCTCTATTCTCTAGTTGGGCTAATGTTTGGTCGTCTCATTCCATTTGGTCTCGATGCTGGGTACTATATTTCTATTCTGACACTGGATCCCTTGAACAATGGTCCTGGGTCTCCAAACAGCAAAGCTGTTTCATATACAAGAGAAGGGATGTGAACTACATCTACAGGAGGTCTAAAATGAGACTTCCAAAATGTCTACATTATTCCTAACCTTACATATTTCTAAGAGCAACAATTAAAAGTTTTCACTTTCAAGTCTTGCATCCTATTTTTAAGGAAAATATCAATTTGTATTAAATTTACTAGGTTATACGATCATTTTGGCTATGGGGAAGAGCATGAATAGAGCTGGAAAAGAAAGATAAATGTTCAAAGGGTAACGAGAAGAAGTGTGGCCTGGTTGATGAGAGAGAAAGATGCAGAAAAGGAGACAGGATAAGTATGGGCAGCAGGAAAGGAGGGGAAGGAAAAAGGAGACAGATATGTTAAATAAATTTGAAAGCTTCTAAATCCAGGCAGAAAAGTATAAATTTGATATTGGCTGTGGAGTTTTTTTCTGAGATTCCACATCCAGAATCCTCAGCTTTTAATATTATCATCAGTCTCTTTGTCATGACAACGTGTCTTTGACTGTTTCCAAGACTTTTTTAAAAAAGAAAAGAAAAAACTATTTCCAATGAACTTACTACAGCTGAAATACGGATTGGCACAGCTATGGGATGAATTTCAAGTTCTCATTAGGTTCACTGCATCTAGAAAATGGGGAATCTTTACACAAGCCTTGTCATTGTAAAAGGTGGCTCCACAGAGAGCCACACTTCTTCCCATCTGACAGAACTGCAGGAGCTTGGCAGCAGTAGTTCGAACATGAGAGCGGCAAAGTGCTAGCTTCCCTGGGTACTCTCAATGTCGAAAAGAAATGGCACTGTGGGCTAAACTGTCAGCAATCTGGATAAATCCCAAGACTTAAATTACCTGGTAAACAAGTCTCTGACCATTAAACCCTTAAATCTTAATGTTTCTAAAGATAATTTTTCAAGTTTATAGTTCATTATTTATCATGGCCTCAAGAGTCTACAAAACTCTAATGGAGATTGCCACCTCCCACCCCCCTTGAAACACACACACCTATCTCCAGCCCCTGCCCCTCCTCCCTACCCCCCCAAAAAATTAATGTCCTGAGGCATGGTATTCATGGCATTGGCCACTCAGCTCTTAAATTATCAAATTAAGGAGGCTCTGATCTTCAAGTCCCTTGAGCACGAAAAAACTGTGTGCTATGTGCAATAAGCCATGTTTAAACAAAAAACTCTCAGTGGTTCCCCACTGCCTATAAAATAAAGGCCTAAGATCCTAACCCTGTATTCAAATCCCGCTACGATGTGACCCTCATCTGCCTCTCTGACCGTACCTTCCACAAATCATCTACCACGGTATATAAACTATTCCCATGGCTCCAGGGTTCCTACATCTTCCTTTGTGTTCCTTATTTTCCCTGTCTTGAATGTT